TTTATTTTGGAACAAAAATTACACCAACACCGCTTCTGGTAGAATTGAAGTGAGCAACACTTTCTAAATTGTACCTTTGTTGTCGCTAAGGAACAAGATTCTGACGATGAACAGATAGACAAGGAATAACCCGCAAATCAAAATCGATAATGCAGAAAACTCTTTATTTCCTAAAAAAATGAAATGAATAATGATAAATAATTATTACAGGGTTTACAAATTTATAATGAAAAGATTCTTACGATCTATTTGCCTATTTGTGGGTTAACTGTCGAAAAGTCCTAAGACGCTTTTTATACATTAAAACTTCTGAAAAGAGTAACAATTAAATGTTGAGGAAGATCACTAATTCTTTATATGAAAATATTCTTGCTTAACTTTGAAATGGTTCACAATTAATAAACGTTTATACTCCGTTGTCGGAGACAAAGAGAAGCGGGCTGAAATTGTTTGGTTTGGTTTCTCGTCTCCGAGAGGAGCTTTTAGGTTGAAGACGACATTACATGAAGGGGGGGGTCTTAATGTTAATGGTTGACAACCTTATTTATAAAATCTTTTATAAAAACTTTAACGATCAATTTTAAAGCATCTCATAAAAACTTAGACAAAGTGCTACAAATTAGGAACGGATTGATAGGAATAGATAAAAGTTTATTATTTAGGCATAACATAACAAAGTCTATCGATATTTTAATGCCTTGGAAATGAAAAGTAAATATTTGGCATAGTAAATGGCAGTTCTAAAGGTCTGTAATCTGTATTCTGAAGCCAGGGGAGTGGAGGATAATTTTTGTTCGTACTGTGTCATAAAAGAACTACTTAAAGTAAATAAACAATAGTTTGGAAATAAGCCTGGCCATCCAATCTTAGTTTACAATATTTGTTATTTGTTTCTTGTTAATAAAGTCTCACTCAAATGTGTACACACACCCTAGCTCCACTACCTATAAAAACAATGACACGGAAAATTGCTGCTTTAATGATTGTAAATTTTACCACATGTTGACTTAAGTCAGACCGCGTCAACCCAGTTGCACGCCAGCTAGCCCTCGCAACTATATTGAGCCCAGCTGTTTGTCTTCCAACGTAGTTGCAGTGTAACGGGCGGGGCAGTACAAACTATTGACCGTAAAAAGGTCGGTTCAGCTCAGATTCAAATGTACATGAGTTGAGTGTGATGATAGTATCAAACCTACATACGTGTTAAATTTTCAGGAACAGTCACTTATTCCTAAGACGATACATTTACCAGGGAATAGAGAGGGGAGAGAATTTTAATTTTATGATCTTCTAAAATCCTAAATTATCTCACCCAGACTAAAAGGCTAAAAAAATGCATGTTACACGAAAACTATTCAATGGACATAGACATATACATCATTAATATAGAAAGTAATAATGTCTGTTTGTTTGTTTGCATGTCCGATCATAACTCATAAACCAAAAATTAAAATTACAATTATTTTTTTACCGATATTTCTGATTGAATGGGGAACAGAAATGCCACTCATTTCACATAAATTTCACTAGAAGGGATCATTCATTTGGCGTACTGTCTCGGTTTGCCTTACATAATCTGTATTTGTACTGCACAGCTCACTCTGACTGGTTTTATGTCGGGCCGAGACTTGAAAGGAACCGAAATTTACAGTGAGTTGGATTTGCTTGGTTATCAATGTAAAAAATACTTTGTTTTGAAAAAGTAGAAAATAAAAAAAATGATGTTTAAAGGGACTGTAGGCGTAATTTCATGTGACCCTCTATGCAAAGATGGCAATACCCGATTTACAAAGCTATGTCTAATCAAGTATAAATTATAGATATCAATGTTTCTCTGCGGAAGGGTCTCGCGAATTTTGTGTTTCTAATGAAGAAACTAACAGACTTCAACATTTTTAATCAGATTAAGGGTTTAAGGGTATCGTTATAATTCGAGCATAGCCAGCTTTAAAATGGAGTGTCACTAGAAATTTCGCTTACAGTCCTTTTAAAGTATTTTAGTTTCAAAATGTTCATCACACTTCAATCATTTTCGCTCCATTAGGTTTTCAAATAGGAAATTTAAAAATAGGTTGTTCTCCACCTCACCTCAAACCTCTCCTCCACCTCTCCTCCACCTCTCCACCACCTTTCCACCTCTCCTCCACCTCTCCTCCACCTCTCCTAGGAGCGGGGGAAGGCAGGCGGCAATAAGCCACAACATTTTTCACTTCCATGCCACATGTTAGTTCTTTTTGTCTTCCTGTAGCTATAAATTATAAATAATTATTCAAATCGTTAAATTAATTCTTCAACATTAGGAAAATAGAATTAATTGCTCATTCAAGAAATAGATGTAATAATTTGTGATACACTTTTTGTAATTTACGACTATGGGAATATTTAAATATATATAAGTAATGAACTTTTAAATTGTTCAAATCTTATACACAAACAGAAATAGACAATAAACTTGTAGCAAATATAGCCTATGTAGCGTTTTTGTAGGATAATGTTTTTGTAAAGTAGCGTTTTTATTGTGTAGCGTTTTTATAGTGTACCGTTTTTTTTAGGGTAGCGTATTTAAGGTATGACCCATCCATGCCACAGCATTTGAATCTTCCGGCAGTTATTACGTTTTTTAAATGATAAATTTATTGCATTGAAATTGTTATTTTTAAAAATCCAGCGATGTCATGCAAAATATATGTGTTAAGAACTTTATATTTAAGTTTAAATTGAAATAACGACGATTCCTTTATTGTAAACTGCTAAATTTAATTTCCCCAAAAATAGATTCCATCTTTCCTCTAAAATTACTCATTTTTAGAAACATTATGAACAATAAAAATGTGGCACCAAAACATACTTTTAAAGTTCAAATTTGCACTATTAGAATTTGATGAGAAAATTGCAAAATAGAATTTTTTTGTTTGTACCTATAAGGTTATGACAGTTAATATTGTGAGATTTTCTCATCTTTTGTTATTCTTTAGACTATCCCAAACAATGTGTTTCGGTGCCCACAATGCGTAAAATTTTCTTTTTAAAATATAGAGCAGTTTATAAACTGAACACACAGTTCATTAATCTTTAATAAACTTCAAAAATTTTTAAATATATCATCTTTCGCGTAATGCGGCAGGATTTTAAAAAATTGTAATTTCAATGCCCTAAATTTATCCTTTAAAAACGGTTGTGGCTCATGGCTGCCAGAAGACAAAAAAGATAATATGTGGCATGGAAGGGAAAAATGTTGTGGCTTATGGCTGCCTGCCTTCCCCCACTCCTCCTATCTTCCATTTTTAAGTACTTTTCCATTAAAACTTGAACCAACCACAATCTAAACACTAACCATTGTAACTTTACCCCCTCCCCCGTTTCACCTCCTCCTCTACCCCCCCCCCCTCCCCCTCCATGGTTTTTCTTTGTGATTTGTATTTAAATATAATTGAGCTTTTTATAATTTTTTTAAGAATCCTTATCATATTTCGAAAATTGTATTCTCTACATAACTTCGCCATTATTACTGTTTTAAAGTGTGTACAACATTTTTACTGATAGGAAATCGAAAAAAATTATCAAAACGCAATGCAACTAATTATCTAATATCGTTTCGTTTTGTCGTTTTGGCCATCTCATGCCAGATTGAAAATTGTACTTAGATACATTTAGATAAATTCTTGTTAAATAAACAAGATGTTGAAATATATGAGTGATGTTTGAAGTTAAACTTTATTTATGGCATAAGTTTTAAAGAGAGTATTAAAGTGCTCTTAAAGTTTATTACGACCCAAAATTGCAAACACAAGAAAAGCTTGATAACAACCTAAATAACGATGTGATAAGGATGACAGACTTATCCTCATTAATCTATGAAAACACTTTTCATTGTTGAACTCTTTTAAGTTTCTAATATATTAATAATCACAATCTAGAATTTACAGAAAACAAAATTTTTTTTCTCGAACCTTTGGGAAGCGCTTTTGGTGTAAAATATTTTGAAATTTCAAGAGATACAAGTAATGCATCAGTTGTACGCAACGTACACCTCGTTTAAACAGAAATTCAAATGGTTTTCAAGAGATTTAAACATAGAGCTCTTTCAAAAGTTTAGAGGGTACCTTTAAACCCTTTAAGATGATAATAATTAAGATAATGATAATAAGAATAGGATTATGAAAAAAAAACCCACTAACAATGGCATTAAAAATAGTAATGACAATAACAATAAAACACCCTGAAAGGAAGTGTTCGCGAAAGGCTTACGGTAAAAAATACGCGCTTTTGATCGCAACTAATCTTATTTCTATTTGTTGCATCTCTAATGAGAAAAATGGTTGAAATAACTCGAGCTGCAGAACCTAGCGTCCATATAAATTCAGAAAGTATGCAACATTCAACTTGGATCGTAAAAAAATGAATTTAATTCCAAACAAATCGACGCATTCGTATATAGTTAATATTTCATAATATTTTAATGCGTAAAAAAATTATCGATGATTATTGGTTGTAATACCTGATTGATTTGTTTGGAATGAAATTGATTTTTTTTCGATCCGAGTTGAATGCTGCAACTTTCTAAATTTGTATGGACGCTACGTTCTTCAGCATGAGTCGTTTTTAACAATTTTCTCCTAATAGACGAAACAGATAGAAATAAGACTAGTAGCGATAAAAGCCATTATTTTTCCCCGTAAGCCTATCTCTCTTTCATTTTTCGCGAACACTCCCTTTAAATGGCGATAAAACTGATGATATCTGGAGACAATAACGATGACGATAACAATGACGATGACAATAATAATAACAATGACTATCACCATGACAAGAATGATAACACTTAAAAAGACAATGATGATGATAACGATATTAATGTCTAGAACATTTACAACGACTATAAAGATGATAACGGTGATGATAACTATTAAGATAACATTGAAAACTATAACGATAACAATGACAACAACGATGATTATGATGATGATAACGAACTACATGACAATAATGATGATGTTTAGGTTCAGCGAGCATTCCACCAGCTGATGTTAACCCTTGCTGTATTTGATCTGCTCTATGTTGTCATCTCTCTCATTCTCTTCGGTGTGCCAGGACTCTTCCCATGGTAACATTTTTTTAGTTTTAGTATTTATCTTATATTACAATTTTTTAACAAACAAAATTTCTGAGAACGAACGAAATTTGTTGTGAATGATGGTGTTGTTCAGAAAAAAAGAACGATGGAAGAACGATTTGGATCGTTCAGAGAAATAAAGAACGAACGATAAAAAAGCAACAAAAAAGAACGATTTAAAATCCTTCAAACGATCTTGATCGGTTATAAACGATTTCGTTCTTTTTCATTATTGACCGAACGATTTTCAGATTTTAAAAAAGCTTTTTTTACTAAATGAACAATTTTTTTAAAAACGATATTTTTTATTGAAAGAACGATTTTTTCAATTTTTTTAGGAAAACGATTTTTTTCTTCTGAACAAATAATTTATTGAACAAACAGTTTATTGAACAAAAAAATGAACTGAACAAACGATTTTACTGAATCTGAAATGAAAAATATATGGAAAATTAGCGATAATTTTAAGAACAGACAAAATATTTTTTTTAACATTTGAAAAAAAAACCGAACGAAATGAGTCGTTTACGACCGATGAACGAATGAAAAAAAAATTTTATTCATCCCCAGGGTTCCCATGGGTTTCCTCAAAAAAAGTATGCAAATTGGGTTTAGCCGTTTGACAAGCTATAATATATATATATATATATATTAGCCTTAATAGAGGGCGCTTCGCGCCCATCTTCTAAATTAATTGTGAACATGTTCTCTTTGTGTACTTCGTAAAACAAAACAAAAATAATTCGCGGATTTTCACAAAAAATTTCGCGGATTTTCAAAATTTTCAAAAATTAATGACGATCGAATTTTGATGGAGACAAATATTTGAAATTTTGATCATTCATAAACCTTCCCTGGGGTCCCTAGATGTCCCACAAAAAATTTGGGCCCGATCGGTTCAGCCGTTTTGACTTTTATTGGATACAAACAAAGCGACAAACAAACAGACAAGCCAAATTTATATATAGATATATGTATATATATATTTAATTATTATATTGATAATAGATCTATAAAGATATACTTTTATATCTACAAAGGAACCATGAGTGGATGCCACAAACTCTGCTTTCTTTTAAACTATGAATTCTGTTATGTAGTCCAAGCAAAGAGAATAGAATATATATTAGAGGGGAATTTTCCTAGAAAAAAGTGTAAAACGGTCATTTTGCTTTAATGTTTCCATACTGCAGGTTCTGCAGGTGTACTTCACATATTTATGCTATATAACCTTTTGGGCCCTGGAATATCATTTTATAGAAAATCTAAAATTAATATTAAAAGAAAACCAAATCATGAAATAGGCTAGTTTCATAATTGACTAATGATCATTTCACATAGACTCTATGCCTTTCAGTTTTAAAACGATGATATTCCGTTATAACTGTAAATCAAATGATGTTTTTTATTCACCTAATTCATTATAAAGTTTATTTAACAGTTTAAAAAATTTGAAATTGAAATGGATCGTCTAGGGAGCATACTGTATTAATATACGCTACTCCATCTAATTTGTTAACATTTACATGATTTGTACACTTTGAACTCCCTTTAAGGCTGAAAGGGACTGAAAAATTCATACCGAGAGATTCTCTAAATTCCCCTCTAATATATTTTCTATTCTCTTTTAGTCCAAGCTTTAAAATTTTAGTTTGTGGCAAAACTTTTTTCTTTAACGCTAATAAAGGGAGCAAATCATTACTAAACAGTAAACATATCCACGAAACATATTAAAACAAACCTATCAAATCAAAACATATCTCCTACAAAACATATCATCACAAAACATATCCAGCGACAAAATATATCAAGATTCAAAACATATCAAAATACAAAACATATCAAAATACAAAACATATCAAAATACTAAACATATCAAAATACAAAACATATCAAAATACAAAACATATCAAAATACAAAACATATCAAAGAACAAAACATATCAAAATACAAAACATATTAAAGAACAAAACATATCAAAATACAAAACATATCAAAACACAAAACATGTCAAAATACTAAACACATCAAAATGCAAAACATATCAAAATAAAAAACATATTAAAATACAAAACATATCAAAATACAAAACATATCAAAATACAAAACATCAAAATACAAAACATATCAAAGAACAAAACATATCAAAGTACAAAACATATCAAAGAACAAAACATATCTACGTACAAAACATATCTACGTACAAAACATATCTAAGTACAAAACATATCAAATACAAAAAAAATATAATATTTCTCAGATAATTACAGAAAAAAATACCGTAAAAATTAAAATACAAAACATATATCCAAAGCAAGAAAATATCTAAATACAAAATAGGTTTTCTTCCCATTAAGAGGGAACATGAGTTGCTTCCGTACGTACTTTCATTTTTACACTCTGGATGGAACTAATTTGATTTTGTTATTCCCACAGTAGAAAATACAGTACAGTACAGGAACAGTATAGTACAGTACAGTACAGTACAGTACAGTACAGGAACAGTTAGTCTCAAAATTTGCTTAACTCGAAAACAGCTTAAGTTTGGTTTTGCGATGTTTTGATTGATTTGTTTTGATTAATGATATGTTTTGTATTTTGATATGTTCAGTATTTTGATATGTTTTGTGTTTTGATATGTTATGTTTTGTATTTTGATATGTTTTGTATTTTGATATGTTTTGTTGTCAAAACGGCTGAACCAATCGGGCCCAAATTTTTTGTGGGACATCTAGGGACCCCAGGGAAGGTTTATGAATGATTGAAGTTTTAAAAATTTGTATTTAAGAGGTTTTTAATTTTGTAAAATAATTTAAATTTTTGAAAATCCGCGAATTTTTTTTTTTAATTCCGTAAAACTTTTTTCATCTTTGTTTTGAAATGCAAACAATTCGAACATGTCCCTAATTTAAATAGAAGATGGGCGCGAAGCGCCCTAAAAGCCTAGAAAGAAGGGCGCGAAGCGCCTTGAATTTATAGTTTTTTATATTTTGATATGTTTTGTTTAGTTGCTTGATATGATAAGTTTTGTATGTGCTCCTAATAAAAACATAATTTGTATTATTCGTTTCTTTCGTTTCTTAACTATGGTCTGCAGATGAACACTTTTCATTTTTTTTTTATAAAATCTTCAATACCAATCCTGTTTATTTAGAACCATTAAAGTGTTTAAATTGTTTATCGAATTGGAAATTAAATAGCTTTCAGAATTAATAACTTAATCAGCTGGAAACTAATTCTAAGAAAAAATGAAGAAAACAACTTATTTTCTCAAAACCTTAAAAAGAAAAATTTCAAATTCATCCAAACGTTAGGAAAAGCATTAAAACCATTCTACTCTCTAGATAGGATTATACGAAAGCCTGTAAAATGAAAGAAAGTACAATGATTAATTTAGATGCACAGTGATCCAATTCATTACAATTTTTTTCTTCATAGCCTGGCAATCCGCCAGGGGAAACCATTCTACTCTCTAGATAGGATTATACAAACATATAACACAAGAAAAATATAAATTAAAGGGACTGTACGCGAAATTTCAAGTGACTCTTTATTCCTTGTGACATGATCGATTAATATCGATACCCTTTATCGATCTGATTGAGGATGAAAAATAGACATTTCTTTTAGCTATAAATCGACTATTTTCAATTTTAAGACCGACAAGTGAAGATTCCTCAAAACTACATAATTTAGGACAATCGTACAATTTTGTAAAATTAATCATGTATAATTTTGGGGGTTTACACAGAGCAGGAATATTTATGGAGAAATCCTTGGTATGAAATTTTCCGTCCCTTTGAGCCTGAAAAGTGTACAGTTCATTTTTATGGTAATGTTCCCTGGACAATCCGTTTCATTATGTTCTTTTTTTGAAGTTGTTAAATAACTTTATAAGGATGTATCTACGTGAATTGAAAAGGAAGTTGTTAAATAACTTTATAAGGACGTATCTACGTGAATTGAAAATGTTAAATAACTTTATAAGGACGTATCTACGTGAATTGAAGTTGTTAAATAACTTTATAAGGACGTATCTACGTGAATTGAAGTTGTTAAATAACTTTATAAGGACGTATCTACGTGAATTGAAGTTGTTAAATAACTTTATAAGGACGTATCTACGTGAATTGAAGTTGTTAAATAACTTTATAAGGACGTATCTACGTGAATTGAAGTTGTTAAATAACTTTATAAGGACGTATCTACGTGAATTGAAAAGTCTTAATTTTATTTATATAGTAAAACAATACATTAGTATATATATATGTATATATATATTTATAGGGCCAAACGGCTGGACCAATTGGGCTGATTTTTTATGGAGGAGTCCGGGGGAAGTTATAGGCTAAAAAAATTTTTGTGGAGGATGGCCGGGGGTAGTTATAGGCCAAAAAGATTCGAAATTTTTTTTCCATGGGCAACGCCGGGCCCTTCAGCTAGTTTCAAATAAAATTTTAAAAAGTAAATAAATGTTTATCATGTCCTAAAGAATTTGGAAAAAATTACTCTCACGATGACATTAATTTTCTTTTCCGGGACCTAAGGTATAGGTAGAGATAGACGTTTTTTCTCCTATTCATTCGTTTTCAGAATTATCGTTCATTTACCATCTATTTCGTTTGTTTTCTAACTGAATTATCGTTCAATTAAATATTCTGTTCTTTAAAATTACGATAGTTTTTTCAAAAGTTCGTTCGAAAAAATCGTTCGTTTAGTAAAAAACTATCGCTGCTTAAAGTTCCTGCGAACTTTCGATTTAGAAATCGTTCTTTAACGGTCTGACTGATTCATAAATACAAAATCCTTAATGATTTTAATACGTTCGTTTTTAAACGCATTTTAGTAAAACATGAGTTGAGAATGAAAAGAATTGTGGCAAAGTTAGGAGAAAACACAAGAATTACCACCCGCGGGGGTCAATTGTCAACTTTTGATGAATATCTTTATCTTCCTTTTGGTATTGTTGCTATGTAGAAATATCAATATAAAATAAAGTTATTCTCAAACTTTTCTCTGTATTATATATTTGTTTAAACATTAGAATATAACAACAGAGTAAGACCTAAAGCAGGGGTTTCAAAGATTTTACTTGCGCGCAATTGCAGGCCCAGTCAATTCTGCGCAAAACCACGCAAATCCGGGCAATTTTGCGCAATACCGCACAATTTCTGCGAAATTCCAAAAATCCGAACAATGCCACACAATTCCGCACAACGGAATTTCGATCGGGAACCCTAGGCTAAAGCAAAATTTACAGAAATCCCAAGTGTGTAAGCTCTAAAGCCTAAAGAAACTGAACTTTTAAAACAATAATCGTCTAATCTGTGCAACCTGATGTTGTATACTTTTGTTATTTCTAAAATTCTAACTACAGATTTCAGCAAGATCAAGTGGTCAAAGTTTGAAATATCCACGATTTATACCATCAGAGATCTGAAATTTTGTGTGGAAATGGTTGATCTTGAAGCTTGATCTCGATATCCAATTTGAGGATCAATGCTTGATCCTTCAATTAATATTGTCCCTGTATAAGATCGAGATCAATGTTTGATCCCGAGATTCACAACACATACGTTCTGGCTTCATAGATATAAGGATCAAATAGTTATTGAGAACATACTATAATACAAGAAAGAAAGCTTCATAATGCATACTCTGTAACTTTTAAGACTTTTATTTTCTCTGGTCTTATATTTTACTAAAGCAGAGAGTTGACATTTTTTTATCATATTTTATCCAAATTTTTAAATTTTTTAACCCTATCCCTGCTGGGGTACTTGAAAACCAGGATACGCTGGGGGGGGGGTCAATTTGACCCCCCCCTCTAAATCCCATGTTTTATGTCCAAATATGACAAATGATACATCATTAGAAAGCTCTTGTGCTCTACTTTTAGAATCTGCAAAAAAATTTGCAAATTTGCGAAAATTGAATTTTTAACCCAAAAACCAAGTTTAAAAGAAAAAAGGTTGCAAAAAAAAAATTGGCCAAAAAATGAAAAATTATACATTTTTGAAAAGCCCTGGACCATGCCCTTTCAAATATGCAAAAATTTTTGCAAAATTTTAAATAACCTGAATTTTAATCAAGAAAAACTAAAAATGTGCAAATTTCCTTTGACAGGTTGTTTGCAAAAAATTTTCAATTTTTTTTTCGCAAAACTTGTGCAATCCGTTTCCTTATGTCATAGGCTTTCCTAAAAGCTAAAATTTATCAAAATCTGATAAGTGAAAGTGGGTCAAAACAAAGATTTAGTTTGTTACAGGCAAAAGCAGTCATTCAGGCAGTGTGCCTGAGGACTCAGGCAGTTAGTATTAAAGCCCGGTTTTAGGCCTAAAGGGAGGGCTTTGGGTATGTAAGAAAAGTCAGAAAATTTCAACAGCCTCAGACCAATACTTTTTGAGTTATGTAAAAAAACTTACAGGGGCGGGTCAAATTGCCTCCTCCCAGCGGGAATAGGGTTAAATAATATGATTTATTGTTGATTACTAATGGTTCTCCTAGCCCTTTATACACAATTATTAGGACATTTTACTTAAATTGAAAATTTGGATGACTTAAAAAAAATTGAGGTTTTACAATGCGCGTAGAATATATTTAGTTAACAATTTTACTTTCTAAATTCCTAGCTACCTGTCCATGTGTATTAGCTTGACTTGAGTGTACACTTAGGATAGTTTACTGTTAAAGGATATTAAGAGATTATGGCCTATTCATGCAGTACAAACATTAAATATGCCGTACGCTTTCGAAGTACAAGTGTATGGGGAAATTTTGTATCTTGAAGTTTTCTCAGAACCGTTTATTTTACGATGAAATATTGCTCTATAAAAGACTGTAATAGTACGTGTAATGGATTTAATAGTTAAATGGAAAAAAATTCTCCATTTAAATATTTTCAGAAATCACCCCCAAGTACTGTACTATACAGATTGACCTTTGGAAGTGAAGAACATGGCCTGTACAATTAGGAAGGATTAGTGAAGTACAGCATCACTTGATATACTATAACCTAGTTGGTTACGATAATTAACAACAAAAAAGTTGTTTCTCTCTCTTAAGAAAATGCAAATTATTCAGAGAAAATTCATGAAAATTTAAATCTACCAGAGTGGTATAAAATTTAAATCTGCGAGCTAGTGGCATTGTTGAAATATTTAAATTTAAATTAAAAATTTAAGATAAGGGAAATATAAAATAAGTCATTAAAAGGCATATCTCAATTAGTCTGTATACATGTTGAAGCAGATTTTATAAATTGGATCCATTTGGCGTACCGTCCTGTTTTACCTTACATTGTACAGTACAGCTTGCTCTATATGCTTAACAGTCGGCACTGTACTTGAAATGAACCGAAGTGTATCAAGGATGATATGGTTTTAATTGCTAAAAGTTTCGTTTAGGTTCATTAATTTTGTTCAGGACATAAGAAATCACTACCCTGGGTTTTTGCAAACAATCTTTTAATTATGATATATGCAAAGAGAAAAAGCTCTTCTGAAATCACTCTATCCCCGTAGTAAATTTGAATTCGAACAGGACTTTCCTAGTTTGTACCGGCCTGCCAGATAACAGCGTGTACCGACCAGATCGTATGGTACAGTACGTCGCCCTAACCAGACTATCATACGACAGGGGTCAATTTTCTTGGCAATTTTCTTGAGAGGGCTAACTTCGCTAACTATGACAACTCCCATGGCGCGTTCAGACTTTTTACAGTACCCGGCCTAATCCTAGGCCTATTTGACCGACCCCACTGGCTTAGTCCACCGTGAAATGAGAACGCAATGATATTTCCAAACAAAGTATACGCTTTCTAACAAACAACTAATTAAAAACCTTTTACTCTTTCAAGCCACTGACAAGTAAACATTTAAAAGCTATTAAGAACTTGGTCGAATTTATGAAGGATTGCCAGTCCGTCTTTGCAACCTCGTTAAGTCTTTAGCTTTTATTATAGACTGAAAGGGACCGTAAGCGTAATTTCAATTGACCCTCCAAGCAAAGATGGCAATGCTCGATTAACAACAGTACCCTTAACAGTGTTGTCTGATGAAGCATGGATTATATATCAATGGTGTTTATAACTTTGAAAATTGATTATTTTCAACTATGGATTCTCTTCAAAATTGATAAAGTTTTCCAGGGTACCGTTGTGAATTGTGCATCGCCTTTTTGTTCTAAAAAGCTTAATATTACAAAATGGCACATCACTGTGTTCAAAAATAAGACCAGAATGTTCAGAACTTAATAATTTTGAAGGATTTAAAAATAATAAATATCACGAAAAAAACTCATGATTATTTTCCAATATTGTATAACTCAATTTAATCAATTTAATCTTAAAACTAAATTTTCCTCAATTTATTTATTCACTGAATTTCTAGATTTTCAATATTTACTTGCTAAAGTCCCCGGCGTTGCCCGTGGAATTTTAAAAACACTGGAATTTTTTAGCGAATGGCACACAAAGGCTACCAATGGGTTCCCTTGAAAAAATTCCGCTGATTTGGTTCACCCGTCTAGCCAGATACAGCTAACATATATATATACATATTTTCAGGGTTTATGATTTTGTTGAGTTTAACCACCTCATCTCAATAATCCTTCCCTTCGCACAGATAGGACTTACAGGTGTCAATTTTTACATTCTAAAAACTGTCCGTGCGCGTGTAACAACGAATTCATTATATTGTATTTGTAATTTTGTCACACAACATGTATATATTAGGGGTGTGAAATTCAAGGTTAGGGGTGTGAAATTTAGTGAAATTGTTCTTAAATCATTTTACAGAAGCAAAATAGTATTCCGCTTGGAATTCTAAAGCATGTTTATAAGATACATTTTTCACAAAATTCTGTAATAACCCCCTCAAATGGGGTTTATGAAAAAAATTCAGCAGTGTTAGCGAAAATAAAAGTTTCAAAATCTTACTAATATGGGTATCTCTTGAACCGGCTTGAAAACTAGATTCCAAAACAATTTATAGAATTGAAAAATATTGAAAATTGGGCAAGTTAAGGTCAAAAATCGTTTTCTCTTCTATATATAAATTTGGCTTGTCTGGGTGTGTGTTTGGGTGTTTGTCTGTCTGTTTGTATCCAATAAACGTCAAAACGGCTGAACCGATCGGGTCCAATTTTTTTGTGGGACATCACGTGACCACAGGGAAGGTTTATGAATGATCAAAATTTCAAATATTTGTCTCCATCAAAATTCAATCTTCATTAATTTTTTGAAAATTTTGAAAATCCACGAAATTTTTTGTGAAAATCCGCGAATTATTTTTGTTTTGTTTTACGATGTACACAAAGAGAACATGTTCACAATTAATTTAGAAGATGGGCGCAAAGCGCCCTCTAAGGCTAGTAAACTAAATTTCATTACAAGTACTCAAAAAAATGTTTTTTTTAGACCAAAACCTTTATCAGATCAATAATGTGGAAGCTAAATTGTCGGGTTTCTAGGTTTATAAGTGTTTAATTCTAATAATTCCTTGTGAAGCTGGCATTGCCATCTTTGCATGGTGGGTCACTTGAAATTACAAAGTGACTTAAAACTTAAAGAGTAGTTTGACCGATTCAAAAAGGTGCGTTTCAAACCTTGGACTGAAGATATCCTAGTTTTTCTATCTAAAAATTAATCATTCCCAACTGTGGGTTTCTAAAAAAAGTGACTATCGGTTTTATTCAGCATTGTCAGCATTAAGCACTTTTTGTTGGTAAAAAAATAAGACCATTTTTTAATCGAAGATATAAATACCATGATATTAGTAGAAGACTATTTTTAAACCAAAATATGAATATGGTGAAAACTATTTAACCAAAGAGAATAGAATATATATTAGAGTGGAATTTACTAGAAAAAAGTGTAAAAAGGCCATTTTGTTACACTGTTTCCATACTGCAGGTGTACTTCACATATTTGCGCTATATAACCTTTTGGGCCCTGGACCATCATTTTATAAAAAATCTAAAATCAATATTAAAAGAAAACCAAATTATGAAATAGGCTGGTTTCATAATTGACCAATGATCATTTCATTATGTATATATTTATCTATGCAATATCTATATCTTTCTATATATTTACCCTGATGGTGTAAACTTTAGATATCTCAAACTTTGACAATTTGATCTATTATGTTGATATGCAATGTGCTCCTTTTCTTTTCGTTTTAAATTTTCTATATCTTTTCATTTAAAGTCTATAAAACTTTTTGAAAAAGTTTTTGTTAATAATATTAATTTCTGTATCTATTAATATAACCGTGACTTTTAATAAATTTGGTTTTTATTTCTAAAGCTACAAACTATAAACAGTTTATCTTATCAAACTAAAAAAATACTATTTTAAAATTTTCAAAAATAAATAAAAATTTTAAAAACAAATAAAAACCGTGAATGTGGCCATGGAAAAATATCGAAATAAAGTAACAGTAATAATGCATGTTTCAGAAAAAAACTGTTTAACAAAATAAATATTCAAATCTATAAAAAAAATTTCACATTAAAACAATTTGTGAGAAGTTAGTTAGTTAGTAAGATAAAATAAAACCTTTAAGGAAAAGGAAAAAGGAAAAAGGAAAAAGGAAAAAGGAAAAAGGAAAAAGATTTAAAGGGGCTGTAAAAATATTTTTTTCAAATGTAGACTCTTCATTGCTCGATTACGGTACCATAAAACACTTTGTCTGGTCAAGTATTAGATCTTTATGTTTTTGCTTTTTGAAACTATTTTTTTTTACTTGTGACTTTATTCTAAAAGTGACTTGCTAATTTCTTGCTTTACAAATTATGCACTTTTGGAAAATTGCCGCTTGTGAAATTATCCCTCAAGCAGGGCCGGATACAGGATTTAAGTGAGGGGTGTGCTAGATTTATTTTGGAACAAAAAATCCAAATTTAGGAACAAAAAGAAATTGTTTTAAAGATAGATATTTTACCTGTTTGAACTAGGTTTTCTTTTCCTTCAGTGCTATTGAGGAGCTATTCTGAAATCTCAGGGGGGGGGTGCAAAGGTCCTGCCGCCCCTCCCTGTATCCGCCCCTGCCCTCAAGAAAAGGCCAGTTATCTTTAAATTTAAATGACTATTTCTTCAAGGTTCAATCTACTTGACTCTGGCAATATCTATTGAACGTTATACAACAGTCTGCCATCCTTTCTTCAAGGTAAGTATACTGTAAGTAGAAACCAGGGAGGTTGATAGATGTTTACCTACCAGTTTATATGAAAAAAACAAGTTCGAAACTGAGGCAAAAATTTAAAAAGTTTAAAATGAATTTTCATAAGAAGTTAATAAGCCTGCAAGTTAATGTCCTCCCTTTAACCTTCAAATATTTCTAAAAATATATTCCAAGGATTCATCTTTTTGAATTATTAATTGCTCTTGACATTTAAATACAAAGTTTTTGATTAATTCATTGATTGATTGATTTATATATATTTTAGTTATACCACTCCTGGTCTGCCAAATTCTACATAATACCAATCTCAATGTTCTCAGGTTCGTTGTCTTCAGAGAGTTTTCCCGCATTTAAATGAAACTAAAGTTTTATGTACTTTGAAAACTAAAATCACCCTGAGGCCGAATTTCAAGAATTTGAGCCGCGGCTTAAATTTAAGCTGCGGCTTAAATATGGTTGGTTCCACTTAAACTTGTATTTAATTTTTAAGCCGGTGTTCAATTAAAACCGGTTTTGGGGGGATTTGAGACATGGCTTAAATTCATTAAATTTGGACACTGGACAAACCAAATGCGTTTGGTTTCAAGTTAAATTCAATTTCCTTTTGGTCTATAGTTTTGGTCTATGGTTTTGGTCTATAGTTTTGGTTTATAGTTTTGGTCTATAGTTTTGGTCTATAGTTTTGGTGTATAGTTTTGGTCTATAGTTTTTGGTCTAAAGTTTTGGTCTATAGTTTTGGTCGATAGTTTTTGGTCTATAGTTTTGGTCTATAGTTTTGGTCTATAGTTTTGGTCTATAGTTTTTTATTAACAAGATTTATTCACACACAAAGATATAAATACATATATGAATATATAAAAAGAGAAAAATATGCAAAATTATGCACAAATAGACGACATTGATCATTACTCATTACATAACATATTCATCATTTCAGTTATTACATAATCATCGAATCTTTCAACATATAAACTATTCGTTCTTGTATTTAATAGTTCTTGTAAAACCGGAACTTTCCATGCATGTTCCAATGGGACATCAAAATATTTCATTTGTTTCTTAACTAACATTTTACTAAGATCCAAAGGATTTACAGAACAATCATTTGCAATAGAAAATAAATTTCTGCCAAGAACTGTGTTAAGGTCATTTTTACATAAATTAGAAAGAAATCTAATGCAAAGCTTAGAACTTGCTTCAATAGTCTCATAGAAAGACACACATAGTGACAAGGACAAGGACCTTAATGTTAAATCTGCATCCAACCCATAATATTAACATTTTTACCAAATCCAAATTTTCCAGGGGGAGGGCTTGGGTCCCACAGCCACGTCAAACTTGTGCATAAAATCAGATTTAGAGGAACTACGAGGTCACTAAGATGTACCTGCAGTAATGCCGCAAACATTTTATTATTTTCCTCGATCTAGTTTGCATTGACAGCACCAACCCATAACATTGATCTTTTCGCCATATTCAGGGGCTTAACCCTTAGAATTTGTCCAGGCTAGAGGGAGGGCTCAGACCCCATATCATCGCCCCCTTTCTTTGATAAATATATTTTAGTACTGTACAATATATTTAAGTGCTGTACAATATATTTTAGTACTGTACAATATATTTTAGACTGTACAATATATTTTAGTACTGCACAATATATTTTAGTACTGTACAATATATTTTAGTACTGTACAATATATTTTAGTACTGTACAATATATTTTTGTACTGTACAATATATTTTTGTAGTGTACAATATATTTTAGTACTGTATAATATACCGAAGTTCTTCGAGCATAGAGTGATCAAGAACTACACGGTGGTGGAGGAACCAGGCCTGGAACCCGTCAATATCACGGTATAATGTCAAACTAAATCATTTCATATACTTTTAAGTTATACCATTGTGCAGGGTTACCAACAATAGATGAGACTTCAGAAACGATTGTTCGGAATTTGTTTAGTCCGTTTTTTTCCATTTAGGTTTACTTGTGGGCCAAAACTGGTTTATTTCTGTGCTTAATCATTTAGTAAACCATCAAAATACTTAATTGAATGCAGAAACCAAAATTCAAACTTCAATTCGTCACATTTTTACAGTTTTGGGTCGTCTTTATAGTCTCATCCCTTGTGGAAAACCCTGGCATGTACAGTGTGTACTGTGTACATTGTACTGTTTCCCCCCTAAAAATAACAATTTAAATTAAAGTGTAAGATTATATATTATACATTCCTTGTAAAATATATGATAAAATACCGTTTGCAACAGTTTTCATGATTTCCAATGCTTGCTCGTATACGCAATTCTACGCAATTATTTAAATTGATACACAATCAAGATCTGATAAAACTTTTAAAAATTAGATTATTTGAGTATTTTAACATCAAAGTTAACTGCTATCTGGTTATAACTTCTCACTGTCCTTGGAAAAAAGCATTGAGTCTTTGCAACAAACGTTATTTTTCTAATCGCTATATATCTTTCCAACCAAACCCAAAAGTGTAGACTTTGGATATTTCATACAATTTCAAATATTTCAGTTTACATTATCAGCTATAAGGTTGCAAAATAAAGGAATTTGTGGCAAAGTCTCCGATTCCTTTGTTTTGGAACTTTTTTGGAGAAAAATTAATTCAATTTAAATAAATTTTCTGTTGCAGTGTAGGCCAGTGTAGTTTCTAGTGCACTATGCATAGAGAACTGTAAATATTCAGATATAACGTGTTTTATCTCCATTCTTCTTGTTAAAATTTAAATCTCGGTTTCTGTTCCTAGTTTTTAGAATTAAAATAATTCTAGTTTTTAGAATTAAAATAATTCTAGTTTTTAGAATTAAAATAATTCTAGTTTTTAGAATTAAAATAATTCTAGTTTTTAGAATTAAAATATTTCTAGTTTTTAGAATTAAAATAATTCTAGTTTTGATAAACTTGTAATTCATTCTTGAACTTATCATATTGCTATCTCCTACTTAGACGACTTTTTGGCGAAAAATTAAAGGATATGGATATAAGCTGATTCCGCATCAAGATGGATGCATCCGGGGTTGGGTCATTGAAAGTATTATTTACATAAAATGTTTTTACGACTGGAGCTGGATTTTCGAACTTTTTTGGATATATGAAAAAATTGTCTTCGTTGGCCCATATTAGGATACCGGCCCATATTGAGAGTAAAAGTTGATAACAAAAACTATAACAAACATTTTATTTAGCATCAACAATTCCGAATTTTAAACTATTTTTTTTAAATCAAAAGCATATTTTTTAAATCTTTTTATTTTATATTTTTTTTAATTTCTCTGTAATTAGCCTTTAAAAGGCTTGTGGGGAAAAAAGGGTTTAGTCAAATTACTTTTATTGTAAATATTTTGCAGTTTTAAGAACATAAATAAAGATTGATTTAGCTTTTAAAAAGTCTAAAGAACTTTAATATTTTATACGAAAATTTACGCAATCAGACTTTAAACATATAAAGTGTCTAAAACATTTTGCTAAAGGTAGAATCTTAAAATTCGGATTCAACATTTCATGCTGACTTAATGTTCCCGCCGAAGCTAAGATCATAGAGAATAGAATATATAGAGAGGAATTTACTAGAAAAAGTGTAAAACGGCCATTTTGTTGTACTGTTTCCATACTGCAGGTGTACTTCACATATTCATGCTATATAATCTGTTGGGCCCTGGAATATCATTTTATAGAAAATCTAAAATTATTGTTAAAAGAAAACCAAATTATGAAATAAACTGGATTCATAATTGACCAATTATCATTTCACATAGACTCTATGCCTTTCACTTTACAAACGATGATTTTCCGTTATAACTATAAATCAAATGATGTTTTTATTCACCTAATTCATTATAAAGTTTATGTAACAGTTCAAAAAATTCAAAATTGAAATGGATAGTCTAGGGAACATACTGTATTAATGTACTCTACTGCATATAATTTGTGAACATTTACATGATTTGTACACTTTGAACTCCCTTTCAGGCTGAAAGGGACTGAAAAAATTCATACCGAGAGATTCTTTTAATTCCTCTCTATATATTCTATTTTCTATGGCTAAGATATACGAAGCTTTAATACATTCCTTTTATTTAAAAGTTCCCAACTAAGAATTCTTTTTAGGATTAAATATTAAAAACTATTTCAATTCCTTGGAAGAATTTAAACAATGTTTCAAGTTTTTGCTCTTGTTCTTGTACACAAACTTTTTCTTGAAAAATGTTTATTTTTGTAAGAAGTCATTTTTATGCTTTAATTTTTTTGTGAATTTGAAAAAATATAATAAGGAGAAAATAATCGGGCTTAATCTTTAATTTCTAGACAAAATTTCAGAAAATTAGTAAGAAAGATTAGTATTTTTTTTAATTCTCTCAAAATATAATTAAAATTTCACTTCTAGGTATAATCCACACCTGTAACGTTATAAATATTACAATTTTGTATAGGTTCATTTTCTTTATAGTACTCGTTGTATAGGTGCAATTTTTTTAAACGTAACATTTTGTATAATTAATTATGCATTTTAACACTTCGTATAAATAACATTTAACGTGAAAGGCTTTGATTGCGACCAATAATATTGCTATCTGATGTTCCTGTCTCAAAAAATTGACATAAAACTGTGTACAAGTTATACGACAGCTCTAACCTATGTGCAGATATGGTACAAGAATAAAAGTTTAAACAGAATATCTGTAAATGATCTTTATAAAGCAAATACGGAACAAATCTGAAAATTACGATAACCCGGAGTTACCTAGAATTTGACAGACTCTCCTATTAGAATTTGAATGTTATAATTTTTCATTTTTAGGTTTCCTTTAAAATTATACAATTTACTTTAAAGGTTGATTTTTTGGCAGCTTGGTGTATCTACTCTTCATTCAAGGATACTTAAATTTCCACCTCTGATCCTAATCTCTAGGTATACCTGATAATACTGAACCTGGTTGTGCACGGTATAATCCCTCTGCTGCTCCTCTCTATCCTCAACATAACCGTTTATAGACAGGTGTTGTATACCATTGATATATTGACAACATTAAAAGATATTCTTCAAATTTTTAACAGCTTCGACTATGTTGCAACGCCTTGGCTTTTGGACTTTGGTTTGCTTATTTCTCACCAACTTACTAATATAAAAAAATGCAAAGCGTTTGTTGCTTGCTTAGGTTAAAAAGGAGTAATGGGCAAAATACTGCTTTATTTTTGTATGAGAGCTTGTACATCTTGGCCGTAGTAAATTTGAATTCGAACAGGACCTGCCCAGTTTCACCGGCCTGCCATATTTTCTTGGCATAGTCCTGTCGGAGGGCTAACTATGACAATTCCCATGGCGCGTTCAGACTTCTTACAGTACCCGGCCTAATCCTAGGCCTATTTGACCGACCCCACTGTCTTAATCCACCGTGTGTACATCTTGGTTTGCAGTGAAAGCGCGTTCACCAAATTGCGGGCAATAATCCTTGAAAGGATTTGATTCTTTTTCACAAACTCAGATTTTCTATTTCCTATATCTTTGCAATCAAATTTCGTAAGCGTTAGACATTTCAAACTATCAATTTTGTCAGATCAAATAATATAAGTTTGAAATATCAAAGGTTTACACCATCAGGTTCAAACGATATAAGGATTAGAAAATTTGAGTTTGTGACAAAGACTCAATTCCTTATTTAAATTAATTTAAATTAATCCGTATATATGCATAAGATGGCGATCAATGCTTGAACCCGAGATTAACAAAACAAAAGTTCTGATTTCTATATTCTATAATTATAAACTTGATGAATGTAGAAGAAAAGATGAATAGTCCAATATGGACTTAATCATTAATCTCCATAAGTTATGAAAACATATATTGCCTATCTATCTATATAATAAAACAAGACTATAGCCGGCCAAACGGCTGCAGACCGAATGAACTGATTTTTTTGTGGACACTCAGGGGTGGCCGGAGGGTGTTATAGGCTAAAAAAAATTCGAATTTTTTTTCTCAATTTTTTTTTATTTTTCAAAATTATTTTTTAATTTTTTTTCCACGGGCAACGCCGGGCCTTTCAGCTAGTTTGTAATAATATGAGAAACTGAAAGTAGTGGTAGGGAAGATAAGATAAATAATCTTCCATCTGTCAGAAAAGAAAATTATTTTTCAACTTTTTGCTGAATTATTTATCAAATCATCTTCCTTATAACAAACGAGTTGAAAATAGAATAAGATTGTAAAAATAGTAAGAAATTAACAAGTATTGGGTTAAAGGGCCTGTAGTCGTAATTTGAAGCAATTTCAATTTATGTACTGTAATGTCTGATTCACAACGCTACCTTTAAAAATGAATTATTTTCAATTGTGGTTTCTTTACATAGCAACTTCCCTATTTCTTCTGCAGATACAATGGGAGGAAATCATTAAAATTAAACACTTTTCAAGCCAGATATTCGAAGCATGTCTTCTACATCATTGAATAAACAAAGTTTTAAAGGGTTCCGTTCCGTTGCCAATCGGACTTGTCGTTCTTTTTTAATAAAAGACATTTGAAACTGCAGCAACAGTCTCTTTGTAGTCTAAAACAGTCTCTTTGTAGTCTAAAACAGTCTCTGCAATCTAAAACAGTCTCTTTGTAGTCTAAAACAGTCTATTTGTAGTCTAAAACAGTCTCTGCAATCTAAAACAGTCTCTTTGTAGTCTAAAACAGTCTCTTTGCAATCTAAAACAGTCTCTTTGTAGTCTAAAACAGTCTCTTTGTAGTCTAAAACAGTCTCTTTGTAGTCTAAAACAGTCTGTTTGTATAGTCTAAAACAGTCTGTTTGTATAGTCTTAAACAGTCTCTTTGTAGTCTAAAACAGTCTCTTTGTAGTCTATCCCTTGAGAAACGAAGTTATACCATCCTCTATCCGGCCCCCTCCCTTCTATCCCTTGAGAAACGAAATTATACCCTCCTCTATCCGGCCCCCTCCCTTCTATCCCTTGAGAAAAGAAATTATACGCTCCTCTATCCGGCCCCCCTCTCTTCTATCCCTTGAGAAAAGAAATTATACGCTCCTCTATCCGGCCCCCCTCTCTTCTATCCCTTGAGAAAAGAAATTATACGCTCCTCTATCCGGCCCCCCTCTCTTCTATCCCTTGAGAAAAGAAATTATACGCTCCTCTATCCGGCCCCCCTCTCTTCTATCCCTTGAGAAAAGAAATTATACGCTCCTCTATCCGGCCCCCCTCTCTTCTATCCCTTGAGAAAAGAAATTATACGCTCCTCTATCCGGCCCCCCTCTCTTCTATCCCTTGAGAAAAGAAATTATACGCTCCTCTATCCGGCCCCCCTCTCTTCTATCCCTTGAGAAAAGAAATTATACGCTCCTCTATCCGGCCCCCCTCCCTTCTATCCCTTGGGAAACGAAATTACAAATCAAACTCTGCTGAATAATTTGAACAATGCAGCTAAATCTCTTTATTATTCGTTAGATATATCTTGGATATATCAAAGCATGAACTAGAACGCTGCAGTTCTTCTCAAGTTTAAACAAAATGTACAATAATTAGAACTTTTCAAACCCGGGCCATCATCCCCCCTCCCCCTTCTTTCCTTCAATTTAGTTGGCCGAGCGCTGCATTTAGGACAGGCTACGGGCCTATTGTTAAAGATGGGGCACAAAATTTACCAAACTTTTCAAAAACTGAGGCCGAATTTAAACTTTTCGCGTTATAAAGTTTTTAACGCGAAAAGTAAGTTTTCGTATGAAATTTATAATGCATAGCGGAGGCTCGGTGCTGCATAGCAAATCTGGGAGGCTCATGGCAGCCGGGGTTCCAATGCCACAAACTATTCACGTGTCACCTAGTTATTTAGTACTTGAACATAATAACATCATTATTTTTAATCTCATAAATATGTTTAATAAGTACAAAGTTAATCCTAAATTCAGAAATTTAAAACAAAATATCCTTGATATTTCAAACTGTAAATTCTGTTAGATGAAATTATCTAAGGTTTAAACCATCAGGTTGCAATTTAGATTAGAAAATTTGAGTTTATGGCAAAGTTTTCTTTTCGTGCTTCATATTTTTTAATTAAACATCTTTGTTCTAAAGGTTCGAATGAAGGAATATTTTATTAACAAATGTAAATTAATATTCAGCGTATCTAGACAATATATAATTGTAAAAATATGTTAAGCCGATATGCAAGAAGATCTGCAGCAAAGCATTAAGTGTGCATAATGTTGAGAGTTTGTACCGTTACTCCCAATACTTTCTTAATAGGTTTTGACTTTGATATGTTTTGGAGGTTGATAAGTTTTGTAGTTTGATAAGTTTTGTTTTGATAAGTTTTGTTATTAGATAAGTTTTGTTTTAATAAGTTTTGTGGTGATAAGTTTAGTTACTATATGTTTTGTATGGGCTCCAAATTTTATAGTGTAAAAATTTGTCTTTTTACATTTAACAAATACTTTAGATAGGATGATCACAGTGATGAATAGGCGATATGTAAAATCTTGCATATAAATATATTTTGCAACTTATTATTTATCATTCATTATAGTACACCATTCATACAAAAATGTGTCGAAAGTTTATTATGAATTAAAAAAGAATTCTAAATATCATAATTATATACATTATTATCTAAAGTATTTGTTAAATCTAAAAAGACAACATTTTACAGTTTACACTTTAAAATAGTTTTAAAGCATCGATTTTTATGTTTAACCTAAGAGTAGTATGTAACCTATTCTCCCATGTTTTCATTTTTGATATTATTTCTTTTTTAAGTCAATTATCAGTAAAAGATTTTTTGAGGAGTCTTTTGCTGGTCTCAAAAAGGATTCGGCGGGGTTCGGGAAGGGTTCTGCTAACTACCTGGGTTCAAACATGATATTGCTGGGCTCATGGCCGCATGACCCCTCCTCCCTCACAACCTCCTAGGGTTATTGTGAATGAAAAAACCCTAGATCTTGAAAAGACGACATCTAGTGTTCTGTCTTTATTGTTATTAATCTATGATCTGGTTGTTTTTTATGTTTTTAAATCTTAGATTCGGAGTATGCGGAGAACTAACATTATCGAGAGTTCAAGGGGAGAATTCCACAGCAAAGAAATTAGACTTTCTCAGATATCCTTAGTAATTGTTGCAGGTATTCACCTTCGGTAATTGTTGTAGGTATTTACCTACGGTCATTGTTGCATGTATTTACCTACGGTCATTGTTGCAGGTATTCACCTTCGGTCATTGTTGCAGGTATTTACCTACGGTCCTTGTTGCAGGTATTTACCTACGGTCATTGTTCCAGGTATTTAACTTCGGTTATTGTTGCAGGTATTAACCTTTGATCATTGTTGCAGGTATTTACCTTCTGTCATTGTTGCAGGTATTTACCTTTGGTAATGTTGCAGGTATTTACCTTGGTCATTGTTGCAGGTATTCACCTGCGGTCATTGTAGCAGGTATTTACCTACGATCAATGTTGCAGGTTTTCACCTTCGGTCATTGTTGCAGGTGTTCACCTGTGGTCCTTGTTGCAGGTATTTACCTCCGGTCATTGTTGCAGGTGTTCACCTGTGGTCCTTGTTGCAGGTATTTACCTCCGGTCATTGTTGCAGGTGTTCACCTGTCGTCCTTGTTGCAGGTATTTACCTATGGTCATTGTTGCAGGTATTCACCTTCGGTCATTGTTGCAGGTATTTACCTACAGTCATTGTTGATGGTATCCACCTTCGGTCATTGTTGCAGGTATTTACCTTCGGTCATTGTTGTAGGTATTCACCTTCGGTCATTGTTGTAGGTATTCACCTTCGGTCATTGTTGAAGGTATTTACCTACGGTCATTGTTGCAGGTATTTAACTTCGGTCATTGTTGCAGATATTCCAACTCTGGTCATTTTAGTATGTATTATGAAATTTATAGGAGAGATGGGATCATTAGGATAGTTAAATGAATTGTTACAGTTATAAACAGAAAATTCTAAAATAGGAAGACGACTTCATAGCATAAGTGTATTTAATGTTGTTACAAAGCAACGAGAATTATAGACACTTATTAAATCACTAATTCAGGAAAATGGGTGAGTTAATTCAGTACAATTACGGTTTCCCATGCTAACTGGATCATTTAAAGTAATATCTTGAGTCTAAAAGTTGTTTCCCTATTTCACAGCTTTCTGGTTATCACTGTATCTATTTTTAGTATTTCTCCTGTGTCACGCTATACGTTGGATTCCTAACATATGGGAGCTCAGGCAGTCAGATCAGGTCGGTTCATACAGGGTCACACACAAAGAATGAGACTTCAGAGTCGACTGTATGAAATTTATAATATCTGTTTCCTTTTCATAACTCCATGCAACTGTAATATTCTTTCATTCTTTGCTAAATCATTAAATAGTTAATCATCGTTGCATTATGTGAGTTTCAGGTCGTATTTTCAGTCTTATCCTTTTTGGGTCCCCTGTACTTGTTGAATGCTAATCGTTTTTTGAAGAAAATAATAAAACTTCCAAAATTTCATAAAATTCTTTTTTTTAGCTTTCTTTACGACCCATTTCGTTAATTTTTTCTTCCATCATTTAAACAAATTGATTTTGTTCTTACTCATTTTCCATTTATTTCGTTCATTTTCTCACTGAATGAACGTTGGATAAAACCGTTTGTTCAGTAATAAAACGATAGATTTTTAATTAGTTGTTTAAAAAATCGTTCGTTCAGTAAAGAATTATTGTTTTTTTTTATACAGTTTCTTTCCCTAAAAATCGTTCGTTCAGTAATATAACGATAGTTTTTCGATATCTTTTGAAAATTTCGTTCGTTCGATAGAAAACTATACCTTTTTCAAGTTCGTTAAAACGATTTTAAATCGTTTTTTCTTCTTTTTTATCAACACGCTGCACAGACCAAATCAAGGTTTTGGCGTGCTGCCGATGCCCCAGAATCTTCTCTATATGGCTGTTAGAATCTATTTAAATATTAAGATTATCCCGAAACGGCTGTGCTTTCTTGTACTTTACCTTTAAAATATATTCTTTTTTCCCGAAAAAGTTCTCTTTAACAAAGACGACATCTAAATATTTTGCGGGTTTACAAGATCCATTCAAGGATAAATATATAAACGGGAAAAGTAATTATAAATTGCAGGGGTGGATACAGGATTTAAGTGAGGGGGGGGGGGCAAGATTTTTTAGAAACAAAAAAATTCATAATTAGGAACAAAAAATCGCGCCGCTTAAAAGAGTCATAAAGAGTCAAAATTAATGACTAAAGACTAAAAGACTAGATTTTTAACTTTTCACACATTATAGTTTATTAAGACAGATATTTTTCCTGTTTTGCACTAGGGTTTCTTTCCCTTCAGCATGCTATTGAGAAGCTATTCTGAAAATAGCAACAAAAAATTCCAAATTCAGGGGGGGGGCGAATGTCCCCCCGCCCCCCCCCCCCCCCCCCCTGTATCCGCCCCTGATAAATTGAAATCATTATAAATCAATGCTAGCTACAATTCATATATATGTTTGTAAATGAAAAGATTATTAGAATATATTAAGTTTGTCACCCCCCCCTGACCCCTTAAAATACCCACCGTGGGGGGGGGGGGATTAGGTATTAACTGTAGTTCGAAATATCAAGTTTTCTTAAAAACGTTATCTATTTTTATGTATATTTATTTTTTTATATATTTATTTTTCAAATTGGGTCGTAGATGGAAAAGTGTAAATACAGGGTTACCCACACAGAATGAGACTTCAGAGACGATTATGCGGAATTTGTTTAATCTTACAATCAGGGTTCGCCAAAACTGTGCTCAATCCTTTTGTAAACCATCAAAATACTCAATTGAAAGCAGAAACCAAAAATAAAACTTTAAATCGTCATTTTTTAAAGTTTTCAGTCGTCTTTTCATCATTTGTGTGTAACCCTGTTAATTATTAAATATTCAAATATGTAAACGGTTAAAAATAATCAAAATTAAGTTAAGAATATTGAGAATATTTTGTTAATAAGAATTATTTATCAAAATTAGCAAACTGTACTATAAACCATTTATTGTAAATTGTTGGAAAGAGGTTTCACGGTAAATTTAATATTTAGAAAAATGTGAGTAATTAAGATACAAATAATTATTTGGTCTCCAACATTTGGATTCTCTGTATCAACATACACCCACAAAATATAAGACTTTATAACCAGACAGTTATACGGAATTTATTCTGTCTTTCTTTTTTTCTGCTAAATCACTTTGTATGCAATTTTATACAGTTAAACTCATTAATATGAATACATCGGAAGAATTTTTGAAATGTCGTCTTTATCACTTTTGACTTAATGTTATGCCGCTGAGAATTATAGATACTGAAGGTTGTTATACGTAAATTAGCGCTCAACTTTATGAAGCTGTTGGATAAGACGTATTTCAGGGCTATTAATTTATTTTTACAAAAAAAAATAGAAAATTTTCAATCCCCATAAAAGTTCTGACTCTTAACACAGAAATTTGTATTTGTTTTAGTAAACTATACATATCCCTGTAAAGCTTCTGGCAGAAAACTTTCACAGCTTGTGAAAGTACAAATAGCAGCTTCAAATTCAAAATAAAGGCAACATTATATAAATTCTTCCAATGTATTCATTTTAATCAGCCTAACTGTAGTGAAGCCCAGATAAAGTCATGAGAATTTATTTCTTCAATTTAGATCATGTTTAGAATTTACAATCTAATATTTGTTATTTTAGTCAAATCTTTCAAATCTTATTTGTTATAAAGGAAGGCGACATTTGATCAATATGTACAGGTGTTTAATGGGTGTTTACGAACAGTTAGCTTTACTGAAAGCTTAAAAATCTCTTATAATAGTGAAATGGGTCTGTTTACTTTGCCCAATTGCTGTGCGCGTCTCAAGATGAATTGGACTATTTTAAATCATACCTTGTGTCTAAAAGTCGTCTTCCTTTTCCAGATTATTTCTGGTTCTTGCTTTATTTACAATCATCTTTATGCTCAGACATTACTTAAATATACACCCTAATACTGCAGTCACCATATACACTGCGTTTCAAGTTATTATGCAAGTACGTTTTTTTAAATTTCTGACTCAAAACTTCAAAATTTTTCTTTCACAAAAATGTTTTCCTTCAGGGTTTTAAATATGTTTACACATTTTTGTGTAAACGTGTCATACACATGTACACACAAAGTGTAAAATTTTACTTTTACAGTCGGTGTATTCAATTTTAAAGCAAGTGGAAACTTAGTTATCTAAAAGCACAGTAAAATGGGAAAAAAGGAGAACGAGCATTATTTAATCTGGAGATTAAGAAAAAGAGTGGATCAAGCATTAATCCCAATATCCACCATTCAAAAGTTCCCAGCTCTGGTGTCAAGGGTAAAGAATAGAACAAAATTTTAGATCTACGCAGTTTTCAGTTTTATTGCCTAGATAAAAATTCCCATGACTTGTATTGCGACTAATCTAGCTACGATTGTAGATAACGACTTTAAACTTGTTATCACGTTCATTAACCTGCAAATACAGACTAAGTCGTATCCAGATTGATATTGACTATGGTATTACTGAGGAACCTTGAGTTCTAGATTGAATTGTATCTTGTAAGAATACTTGAGAATAAAAAAAGAGTAGTATCCGGATTGATACTGACCTAGGTATTATTGGAGAACCTGGAGTTTGAGATTGAGTTGTACCTGGATTGCTACAGATTTAAGAGTATTTATTGGAGTAGGATATTTAATTCATATATTTACATATATATATCTGTGTTTAGAGCGATATTGACTGGCCCCCCTGGATACAGAATATAACCTCCTTATCCCATCTTCTCACAGTCTTCAGCTCCTCGGTCAACTTCTATATATACGCTTACAAACAGGTATTTGATAATAACAATAATAATAATAATGATAATTATAATAATAATGATTAATAATAATAATAATAATTATAATAATAATAATAATAATAATAATAATAATAAAAATAAGTATACTATATTGTCCTTGTCGTATATGTAACCTGTTATCTATTTATTGTATGTTATCTTAATTGTATTTGAGGTCAGTCCTTAAGACTACCTGTATTATTAGACAAAAATAAAGTTAGTTACAGACAAGGTACTATTGCAAGGAAAGTTAATTGCTGTTGCGTATACTCTGCGCACATATTGAAACCAGTTCTCTCAGGGCGGAATTTGTAAACACGAATAGATGCATCAGTGCTCGTTTAGTATCCAAGGAGGATAAAAGCATTAAATTTTTTAAATTAATAGTTTCCTATGACCAAAATAAATCATTGATTTTTTTAAACGAAAAATGGTTCCCAAGTCAGGCTGTGACATACGTCTTATGTTTACTTTACCGCCCAGAGACCAAGGGCGTACACAGGGGGGGGGGGGGCTTAGTCCCCCCCTAGAACTAAGAGCCATCTCACTTTTCAAATCTGAAAATGAAGAGTGAAACGTATTATTAAAACTTATTTGCTGTTTTTTTTCTGCTAGTTTTGTTTTAAGGAGAGACAAAGTAGTACTTGTAAGATTATTGGACTGTATGTGAACCTGTAAAGTATCCAAAAAGCCAAAAGTTTTGAATTTACTGTTCAAATTTTGCATTCCCCCCCCCCCCCCAAAACGCCCTTGCCAAAGACAGTACACTGCAGTACTAAAAATGCGTACATCTCTAAAAAGACTATACTTTACATAATAATTCTTTGGTTATAGAGATACTCTGAATACGAATGGTTGTGTCAATCATGGATCGGTAGAGAAATAAGTTCAGAGAGATTTTAGAAGAGTTAAAGATTGCTTTTAAAGTTTGGTATCGTTCATTCATTTGACTTTTTTAATTTTGTAATTTTTCAATTTTTCATTTTTTTTCGTACATTTATTCATAAAAAGATGTTGTTAATCCATGTTGTTAATCGATGTTGTATATAGTGTAATAGTCCGGAAGAGAACGAGATTCTCATGGATGAAGTTGAACCTGAGTTTACACAGGTGAATAGATAAGCATCCTGGGGTATAAGCACATAACAGAGATTAGAATAGAAGCGAAAAAAGCCTCGGTATGAATTATTTTAGTCCTTTTGAGCCTGAAAAAAGAGTTTAAAGTGTATAATTCATGTAAATGATCACAAATTATACGCTGTACATCACAATAATCTCTGGACATATCCGTTAAAATTTTTTCTTTTTATCAACTTGGGAATGTAAAGTAAAGCTTATGCTGTTATGAACTCGGGAATGCAGGACAGGTTGTGAAAGAATTGATTTAGAGAAAATTAAAAAATTTTCAAAAAAATGTTTTTCTATAAAATATGTTCCAGGCCCAAAAGGTTATATAGCACATATATGTGAAATACACTTGCGGTATAGAAACAGTATAACAAAATGGCGGTTTTACATTTTTTCCACTTAACTCCACTCTATACTTGTCTATTCTCTTTGGGTATATGCTTTGTTGAAAAATTACCCAGCACCCTCTTCAAAGTTCCTCCTCCCCGAAATGTCTGGGGGATAAATTATTTTTTAGGCGAAAGTGGAACTTTGATGATGAATAATTGAATATACATACATATATATATATATATATATATATATATAATATCATATCATAGCAAACTAGACAGAGGGTGAATATAAAATTCATGCGTTATTATCGGTTCGACTTTGTGACCTCCTAGCTCATTTTATCTGAAAACATTTCAGATTTTAATCTTAATTTACTTTAGTCTGATATTATATAAATACATTATAGATGAATATAAAAACTTCACTGCTAGAACCCAACATTTAGAAATTACAAATATATTTTTTTATTCAGCGTTTTTTGTATATCTAAATTTACATAATATTTAAAAATTGGTTTCAGAATTTCGAGAAAAAAAGTTCGCTGACCGCTTTAAATATAATTTATTAATGTTTTAGAGATCAATGATGGAAGTTGCAAATGTTGAGGTTGTTTTAGAATCAAAATCACAAGTTGCAACCTCCCGAGTGTGAAAAGTTGCATTCTCCTCCGTGACGAAAGTTGCATTCTGCAAAGTGCGGAAAATTTCCAACTTCAGCGTTTGTACAGTTGCAACCTCCCGAGTGGGAAAAATTGCATACTTTGGAGTGTGGAACATTTCAACCTTCCATGTGTAAAGTTGCAACCTCTCGAATGTGAAAAGTTGCAAACTCCGGAGGGTAAAAAGTTGCAAAGGTTTGCTTGCATCTTAAAAGTGTTGAAAGTTTCAACCTACCGAGTGTAAACAGTTGCAACCTACCTAGTGTAAACAGTTGCAACCTACCGAGTGTAAACAGTTGCAACCTACCGAGTGTAAACAGTTGCAACCTACCGAGTGTAAACAGTTGCAACCTACAGAGAGTAAACAGTTGCAACCTACCAAGCGTAAAAAGTTGCAACCTACCGAGTGTAAATGGTTGCAACCTACCAAGTGTAAACAGTTGCAACCTACCAAGCGTAAAAAGTTGCAACCTACCGAGTATAAACAGTTGCAACCTACCGAGTGTAAACAGTTGCAACCTACCGAGTGTAAACAGTTGCAATCTACCAAGCGTAAAAAGTTGCAACCTTATACCGAGTGTAAACAGTTGCAACCGCCCGATTATTAAAAGTTGCATCCTCCAAAGTGTGAAAAATTTCAACCTTCCACGTGTAAAGTTGCATTCTCCCGAGTATAAACAGTTGCAACCTCCCGATTATTAAAAGTTGCATCCTCCAAAGTGTGAAATCTTCTGAAAATGGTTGCTGAAGAATTTCTAATTTATTTTCAGTATATATTTTTATTTTTAAACAAAACAAAACAATAATTTGAAAAAAGCAGAAAGTCGTGAAAATATTTCGTCTTTATTCTTTTTTTAAAAAATATCGCTAAGAATTTTAAATTTTTTATTGTTGCCATTTAAAATTTAATTAAGATATTCAGGCACTTTTAAAAACACTACACAATTAAACAGAAAAGGAAGCGATGAGAATTCCACTTTTTTTGTTCCCGCTCAAAAATTGCGGGTATTTTAAATACAGATAAATTCCAACAATTGAAAAAAAATGTTTAAATGCATGTTAAATAATTTCTATATTTTTTCAACATGCTCTGAAACTACTTTTTGTTTAAATCCAGTTGAAAGTAACATTTTGTATTGATTTACAGAGGAACATATCAAATATAATTGTAATTTGATACAATTTTCCAAGGAGAATTGAATAGAAGGAGGGGGCGATAAACAGACATGAAATGATAAACAGACATCTGGCATCTCTTGCGTGTTAGATGAAGATTCACCGTACACTAACTTATGTTTGTTTACATTATATCGGCTGCCTTTTGTTATTGTTGTTACGCAAAAACTAGTTCTTCAGCAGTCCAAAAACGTCACAGCAAAGTGTACGGAAACCCTATCGCCCCTCCTTCTATTCAATTCTCCTTGCAATTTTCAGTGATTTTGTTGTTTAAAAAACGAAAAAAAATCGGTTGAACATATTTTTTCCAACCGATTCAGTACGATGTTACTTCCTTAAATCGTTTGGCAATCTACTCATTTTACACACACAAAAATGTCATAAAAATATCAGTTTTTTTCTTACATCAATTTACCTTTTTGATCCTAAATAATGTTAAGATGAATAATGAAAATTATCGATTTCCAATTTCTAGAAGTTTTCAATTACTATAAATGTAATCTAATTAAATGTAATTACTATAAATGTAATCTAATTAAATGTAATTACTATAAATGTAATCTAATTAAATGTAATTACTATAAATGTAATCTAATTATTAAAAGGTCTGAATTATTGATATCAAAAGATTAATTGACTGTAATGTTCATTCGACCATAATTTAATTTGATTTAATTTTATTAGAATGTATCAGAAAAAGATACATTGATAAATAAAAAATTATAATTTTATTGTAATGTGCCATATAATATTCACAATTCAAGGCTTAAAATATGTATACATGTATATAAATTAGTAATCTCTGTTCGTTCGCATGGATGTCCAATTATTTAAATTAAAATCTCAGCTTCATCTTAAAATTTCATAACTGAACCCTCTGGACATAATTTAAACAAATATTACATATTCCTACTGTTAAAGGGAACATAGGCGTAGATTTTATTGACCCTCACGGGCACCGAAGGTACATTTAAATTTCCGAGCCGGGTCAACCTTTCCGGTCCCAGTTTGTACTGTACCCAACTCTATGGACAGGACTAGCCGGTGCAACAAGGTTGACGTGGTCAGGCTTTATGCTTCATATAGGTTGAATTTACTTTTACCAAAGAGGCAGATTTGCGTACCCTCCGCTCTCTATGCAAAAATGGCAATGCCCGATTCACAATTACTGATTATTTTAAATTGTGGGTTCTTCACAAAAAGTGAATTGTGCATTTCTACTTTTGAAAAACATGAAGGAATAATCATAATGAAACACTTTTAAACTTAGAAGCCCGACAATATATAGATTCCACACTATTGATCACATTTCAAGTTTTTAAATTGTTGTATTTTTGTATTGTTGTAAACTTTGGCATGGCCATCTTTGCATGAACGGTCACGTGAAATTACACTTATATAATAGTCCCTTTATTCTCAAATTAAATAATTTCCAATTTTATTATCCCGGGTGGTGTACGCCGGGACAATAAATAAATAAATAGAAATAATGGTGTCACTAAAAGGAAAATGAATGAATCTCGCTGTTTGATAATTAGTATCTTGCTGACAACAGTGACATTCTGTAAATAAACTTGTGGAGAAATATTGTTTTTCTCTTTCTTATTACAAGATACAGCTTTTAAGCCACGTTACTCAAACTATACAGTAAAATGTACACTGTACAGCAATATCTGTACACTTGCTAATGTCATGAAACTGGGTTTCCGATTCTTGGTTTCAGTCATTCATTCTTAAGTTTTGGGCTCCGAAAGGCATGAATTTTAAGCCAAAAACTTCAATTTGAACTCATTTAAAGACTACCACCTTTAAAATATTTCGATTGTAAAATAACTAAAGTATTTGGCGCTTTTCTTCTGCAGTAAAATTTGTTTTCAGATTTTGCAATAATCTTTAAAAACAAACAATGGTTTTGTTACATTCGTCGTCGCAAATAACAAAACAATAAAGACGACTTTCGATTTCAATTTTGATTTATATCAAGCTGTGAAACAGCATGGCTACACAAAAACATGGAAACAAAGAGAAGCTATCAATAAAAAAAGCTTCTCTTTAATTATTTGTAAACTTATAATTCCAAAAACAACCAAAACTTAAACAGAAAAGTCGTCTTCATTGTATTAATAAAATGGCCTACCAGTGTAACAAAACCATTGATGTTTTTAACCAATTTAACCTGTTAAATATCGTTGTCAATAAATATATATGTTAAAAAAAATAATACTCGTTTATTTATTGAGATAAAAACTTATTTCATGGAGGAGGGGGGGGGGGCGGATTCATTCTTGATCTTCAGAGTTTCCCGTTGTGAATCAGTCGACATGCCATTCTGAACAGTCGAAATGCCACTCTAAACAGTCGACATACCACTCTAAACAGTCGGCATACCAATAAACAGTCGACATACCACTAAACAGTCGACATGCCATTCTAAACAGTCGACATGCACTCTAAACAGTCGACATACCACTAAACAGTCGACATGCACTCTAAACAGTCGACATGCACTCTAAACAGTCGACATGCATTCTAAACAGTCGACATATCACTGAACAGTCGGCATGCACTCTAAACAGTCAACATACCACTAAACAGTCGACATACCACTAAACAGTCAACATACCACTAAACAGTCGACATACCACTGAACAGTCGACATACCACTAAACAGTCGACATACCACTAAACAGTCGACATACCACTAAACAGTCGACATGCCACTCATAACAATCGACATACCACTAAAAAGTCGACATACCACTCTTACAGTCGACATACCACTAAACAGTCGACATGCCACTCTAAACAGTCGACATACCACTTAACATGTGACACATGTTATTACTTATGTTTTCCCATGATTTTTAATAAGTAAATTTTAGATCTGTAGCTCAAAAAGTAAAAAAAAAGTTATGGACTAATTTTAGATTTTTTTACAACACCGAATTAACGTATAACGATACTCTACCCTCCTACCCATATGCCTAGGGGGGGGGGGGGGGGTTCAAATTTGTCCTTGAAAAATAAACTTTGTGTTTCAATTCCAATTCTGAGAAATTTTAAATTTTGTGTTCGACTTATTTCATTTAATTTTGAGTAGTTGCTTAATTTCACGGAATTTTAGAATTCATTCGAGTTTTTTATTTTTACTTATTTCAAAGTTTATAAAGTTCTAAAGACTTGCGACTGTCAAGAACAATTACAATTTCACTGATTCACTAAAAGGATTGGGAACTTTTATTCAGTCCGCTTAATTCTTTTGCATGCAACGTTTCAATTTGAGATAATTTCCAATCGGATATAAAAAAGGTTATAATCCACAAACCAGAAGTGGGTCTAAATTAAGTTTTAGTTTGGCTATAGACGAAAAAGGCGAAGACATCATGGAATTTTGCCTTTAAAGGGACTGTAGACATAATTTCCTGAGATCAAATATTTGAAAAGTGGCATTTCTGATTAATTAATTAATTAATTCACTGCGATTTAATGGTCTCACGCTCTCAAGCTTAAATTGTTAAGAATTTTGCCAATAACTTCTAAAAAAACGAAGCTAACAACAAGTGCTTTACAGTACTAAAATGTACATGTAAAGGGCTACAGAAAAGCATAAGTGAGTCGGAGCGGTATAATCTTGGCTTAGGGCGTTGCGACACTTCAAAGTCAACCCTGTCTTAAAAATTAATGAGACTGTTTATAAGCAGGCTGAATCTATGAATTAATAGCAGCAGGACCCATTAAACCTCTATTTTCTGTTCAATAAGAACTATATTGTCCTTTATATATCTTAAACAATTTTCTTCGGCTTCATCCATATATATGTATAAAGTTGTATTTATATGTTTGTCTGTGTGTATGTCTGAGTTATCTCAGAAACCCTGCGTATGTCTGATTTATCAAGACCAAGCGCGGGTAAACGGTGGAGTAACTATTAGTATCGCAGGGTTCCCAAGCTTTAACTTAAACTGCGATTAAAAATCCTAATTTTTCATTTTTATTCATTTTTGATAAAATCATTTAAATTTAGTGTACAGTCCCGTAATCTTGAATTGTTAGGTGAACTAACAAATTGGACATCTCGTGGTAATTTCTTAGAGAACGATTTTTGGACCACTCTCCCCTCCCCCTCCCCCAACCTATCAATATTTTACATTTTGTATAATTGATGTGGCCGAAGCGCAGCGCCCGGCCCCCTAGCCTGTCCTAGCCGCGGCACTCGGCCCCCTAGCTTACCCTAGCCCAGAAATTGACTTAACCTAACCTAACCCTAAATAATAAAAAATAAATGTATAAAATTGATAGAAGGGGGGAAAGGGGGGGGGGTCAAAAAATCGTTCTCTAGTACGGAGCCCATCTCTTGAGGCTCATATCGTTACTTTTTAAGCTACCTTCCCAGCAAACAAAAACTCGGGTTAAAATCGAGTAAAACTCGACCTTTGCCTTCCAGAAGTGGAGTTTTAATCGAGTTTAAAAGTGGAGTTTTAATCGGCTATAGTCGTGCCATACAAAGATTAAAACTCGACTTTTCACCAAGATGATTTCTGGATGATTTCTGGATGATTTCTGGATGATTTCTGAATGATATTTGGGTAATATCTGGATGATGAGGAGTGGAGTTTTAATCGATAAAAGTTTTCGCCGGCAACAGTCGTGCCATATAAGGGTTAAAACTCGACTTTTCACCATATCATCCACATATCATTCACATATCACCCACATATCATCCAGATATCACCAATCCAATCTGCAGTATCCTTTTCACCCCATCATCATTCCTCCATCTGTAATAATTCATACAGCATACATATTATCAATTACATAATCAATATATGTTATACTGTATTAACTTACTGTTAAATCTGTTACAAGACTGTCTAAGTTGAACTTCTACTTATCAAAAAATCAAGAATTTACTGACATTGAATCTAATGAAAACATAGATTTACTCCAAAATGATAGAAATTTTTAAACATTGTATTTACCAAAATAGTTGCATAAAATTTCTTACATCATAGTTATTTTGAAAAATCATCAAATATTATTAAATACTCACTTAAAAATGC